ATAAGGTACATCGTGAGGAGGGAGTGTGTAAAGGTAGACCATCATATCCATCCTGTGATCTCATACTAGAATAACGTTTTTTCTGGATGTTAAGGGAGAAATGCTACGATAACAGGAGGTGAATAAAAAATGATAGACTGTAACTAGAGTTGATATTAAATTCAAGACTTTTCTTGATGTTTGAAATGCAAAAAAAACTGATGCATTATGGAAAAATTTCTAGGGGAGTAAAGTTGTTTATGAAATAGTTTATTGATTTTTTTAATGAAAAAAGAGGAGGTAGATTGGAGAATAAATTAAGTAATGAGGGATAAAAATAAATAAATTTACATATTGAGGCCTAATTTGTATATTCCAAGTAAAGATATATAAATACATATTTGATAAGAGAAAAAATAAATTGATTCATTTTAGTATTATTATTTTTATGATGATTTTATTATATCTCTGATTATTATTGCTCTAAAGGGTCATTCTTAATCCATGAATTAAATAAATGTCGATACTTATAATAATGAGATATTTTATTTTTTGATAAATAATACTTGATAATTTTTCTGAATTCTTTCTACGATTTTGTATCCCAGTTTTGCTTTTATTTTTTTATTATCTTTCTATTTATATTCTACCAACTTTTTCAATGGTTCATTAGTAAACTTTTGTATTTAGACTATTCTGTAGAATTCTCAATTTTACTAAATCCTTGTAATTTTAGCTTCTTCTAATTATATTATATTATTTTGTTTAACAACATATGAGTCTATATAAACACCACAATAAATTTTTTTTAATCAACTTGTTATCTTTACTATTTACTAAAAGATATCTTTATTTTTTTTTTTATTTACACAGAGAGAAAGGAATTTTAAATTTTATGCCAAAAAATAGTAGTCCGTTTGTTTCGAGTACAAAAATAGCAATAAGCAATTGTTTACTTAGTATACATTACAATTTTTTTCGTAAAAATTTTATTATGAATCAAAATTGTGAACTATACAAAAATAAATATAAAATAATACAATTGAATTGTGTAATAAAATTTTTACAAGAAAAAATGGTTATGTGTACAAATTAAATAATTGTTTATTGCCATTTTTGTACTTGAAATGACAGGCTATTATTTATTGGAGTAAAATTTACCATTTCTTTCTCTCTGTGTATTTGATGGAAATTAAAAAAAAAATTACTCTATCATATCACAGATAACTTTTAATAATTGCACCTACATTTCCATGAATATAAATAAGTTAATTATACGTTCGATAATTTCTGAACAACTCACAAATACCGACATTATTATCGTTGCGATTATCGTTGGATCCTATTTATTAGTAAAGAGAAATTGGACATTGTCAACCCGCGCTATGATAAATTAGCCAACACAAACATTAACACGATATTCAATCAAATACTAACATAATAGAATATCTATAATCCGAGTTCTATATCTAGCATATGATAAATGAATCAGCTTCCTGCTCATGTGCATTAAAAATATTAAATTAGGTAAATTGTGGCTAGTTGAGAGGAGTAAAGGAAACAGGAAACAGACGGAAGGAATGAAGAAAAAAGTATATGTAAAAGGGACTAATGTACTGCCGAAATATAGAGGGTGATTTGGAAACATGGGGCAAAACGCACGTGGTTATGTTGGTTAGGATACATGTATAGGTATAGAGATTGGTACGACTAAGCATAGAATGAGTCACGTGCCATCTGCCCTTACACACTCGGACTCTATTATAGCACGTGATATCATATTCCAGGAGTCTATGGATTTTCTTGTATCGCAATGGATTTGGTCTTAAGTAAATATATTATGACTTTTCTATGTTATCCTATCAATAAATTATCATTTTATACACATTTAATGTTTATGTGAATCAAAAAATAAATGTGTGCTTCGTAAGGGATCGTTGGAGAGATTAGTGCTGTTCAAATATTCGAAACTTCTTTGATGCTTTTATGCTGGAAAATGAATATTTTAAATAATTATTAATAAATTTTCGACTGTTTGTCGATCATAAATTTATTTGTTTAATGCATTTTAACCAATTAATTCAATTTTTTTAATTTTATTATTATTAGTTTTCCATTTGTTTTAATATTATTTGGAAATCATTAATAATATAGAATTAAATAGAATTTATTTATTCAAATAAAAGAATTTTAATAAACAAAAGATTTATGCATCATCTATTTTTAATAAAAAAAAGTATCAAAATTCAACCATTTATTTTAAGTAAATTTTTGTTGATTTACATTTTCATATAAAAACAATATTTTTTCTAGAAAATAAAATGATAAGAATAAAAAACTGATTGTTTTTTATAAATACGGCGTTCAGTTTAAATGAAAAATTACAAATGGGAAAATATTTATAGAATAAATCCAAGCAGTTGAATTCAAAAATTAATTAAATTTTGTTTCGCAATTTTATGAGTGGAGTATAAAAGAAAATCACATAGTCTGTTGTGTAGAAAATAAATTCTCTAATGGTTTACAGTTAAAACTGGAACGTTAAAACGTCAAACAATAAAAGAGCATAATCCGTTTATTCAAAAAAGAATTTCAATTTATATCTTCTACCATAATTTTCCTAGCACATTTCAAATTCCTTCATATTCTAATTTATGTGTCACCAATTGTTTTATACAAAATTTCTCTCAAACGACAACTTTAAAATACTCCATGAAAATCCTGAGCTTTGTGTACGTATTGAGGTGGTGAAATGAAAAGTTGTGTGTATTTCATAAAATATAAATTTAAATTGAAATTTGGATGCAAAATAGCACTGGGGATTTTAGTAATCTTCTCGACATAATTGTGTGAAATTTCAAATTCTTTTTTTTTATTAAACAAATTCACTTAATTAAATTATTTATTCAAAGAAAGAAAAAATGAAAATATTATTTCTCTATAAAAAAAAATTAGAAAGCATAAAAAAGATACAAAAAAATTGATACTTATTATTTTACGAGTATCTTGAAATAAATATGAGTGTCTAATAAATTCTTATCGTCAAATCCACTGATCAGATAATTTTTTATATAAACATAAATGGCTGTATAATGAATGTATTCGAGTGTGGTTAATAGATGGGTGTGGTTCACCTGCGAGTAGAGAACTTGAATCGATATTTCGCGTTGACCCTGCGGCTATTTTTACTTCTTCACCCTATTTTATTATATTTTCCGTTTAACTATTACTACTATTACAATTCATTATTTTCTTTCTACGTTGTTCGCCTTAATTAATTCTCTTGTTCTTTTTCAATGAAAGTCTCATAAAACCAGCACTTTTTTCCGTAGCTTAATAATTATCATCCCGTTTACACCTACTTTTAAGGTCTTTTTTTAAATCGTCATTCTCAACATTGGATTTGAAAAAAAAAATTACTGAATAATGAATAGAATAGAAAAGACAAGAAAAATTTTTTCTGTAGCATCAATCTTATTAAAATCCCATAAGATATACTTCAAGTGTATTAATCTACAAATATAGAAGATCCTTATACTCAACTCATGACTTTCATCGTCTTTTCTTTGCTTTGCTCCTACTCTTATTTCTATACCGCAGCCATTTCTCGCAAAAAAGTAATTTTCTTACAGGCGTCTGGAACTTCTTTCGCCTTAGCACTTCAGGAGAGTTATGAGTTTATCTTTTCAGTATATTTTTTCTTCTCGGCTTTCCTTTATACCCAAGTAAAAGAATACTTTGTATTTTTTTTATTTTATTTCGTCTGTTGTGATCTTTATTTTATAACATTAGTTGAGCACTTGAAGAAAAAACTTTTGACAGTTTTAGAAAAATAAATATTAGCCTGATATGTCTTCTATCAAATTGATATTTTAGAATAGAGTAGAGCAAAATTAAAAAAAAATAAAATAATATCCTCAGGGAATTTCACATCAAGTAACGAGATCGTATCTGACGCGTTGCGTGTCATTTACATATTTAGCCCGCAGGCGTTGAGATCTTATGCTTGGCAATCCGAAATTCATGGGGACGATATATATATTGAGGGTGGGAGACTTTTGGCAAAGAGAGAAGAGAGTACAGAGGTATATAGCTTGAAATGTTGACTTGATTTACATTTCACACTATGCCTAAAAGATATATCTTTCCTAACCATTTTTTGCGAAAGCATAGAAGGGTGGGAAATAGCACAAACTCGTTGGAAGACTGTGGCATAGAAATAAGACATCATTTTTTTTTCTCAAAATGTCTTTGGAATATTTTTGCTGGTTGAATAAAATATACATTGAAATGACAACCTGCTATATGATGTTCATAAGTATTTATGTTCCTAGGTAAACCTTGTTTAAGGTATAGTAAGGAATATTTTTATACCAGATTTTATTGCAGAACACTTGTCTTACTTTGCTCACTACAAAAGATATAAGAAAAAGAATATTTTTATATGCAATATTGTATTGTTTGTGATAAAGAAAAATTTGTTATTTTTAGTTTGTGAAAGACTGAAGATAAGATTGTAGGAATTTTAACATTTAGAACCTTTTTACCAAATTTTTAACATTTGAAAGATATTCTCATGTAGAAAAAGAATATCATTTGCCCTACTATGAGTAATGTCCATCATATAAAATAATTACAAAAAATCTATAAACATTTTATAAGACTTAGTATAATAAGATCTGATCATTTATTATTAATAAATCTGTCATAAAGTAGCAGGTTTATATATTATTCAAAAATTACTTGACAATTATTATTCACAATCAATAATGATTCCCTCACAGAAGGTTTCAATCACATGAATGATTCATCAAACATTACAAAAAAACATTTCATATTAAATCCAAATACATCAACCTTTCTAGAAGTCTTGAATTTGTTGACAAAATTTTCTAGTTGAACAAGTTCAGAACATACTGAAAAATGTTCAAGCTCAGTAACTTGAACTCTCTAAGGCCAAAACCACTAAAGTCTGCTTAACATGAAAAATTCCTCTGAGAAATGATTATTGAAAAACTTACCGGTATAGGTTGGGGCGAACTGTCTCTGGACAAGTTGCCAAGCGTTGTTAAAAGGCGTCGTGGGGCACCCAACACCGAGTCTCGCCATCGTTCTAGACAGAAAAAGTGATTTCATCAGTGAGTTTTCTTCCATGTCACACATTTCATCTCCACACCACCAAGAGTATGTACAACTATTAATTGGAATTTTAGCACTAAAGTGCTAAAAATGAGTAATTTAAAACCGTATCATATAGCATAAAGGCCAAAGTTGACACCAGGTGTTATAGTGAGTAGCTAGTAACATCAGACAGCATGTATTAATCGTCGCGAGGCAATTACTATAGACTAAAATGAACACATAGCAAGAGAAACCCGAAACTAGAGAAGTATGGTGGTGGTAGGATAACTAAGTTAGATGGGAAGAGTATTAGGTGAAGATAACATAGATTTAACCACAGGAGGGTTTAATATTGCGATAGTTGGATTAAGTGTTCAATGTCCTTAAAATGTCTCCTTCTCTCTTGTTAACTTTCACTGTATCGTGTCTACAGCTAAGTCGTTTGACTTATTAGAACGACTTTCATTAAATGTCTTGATGACGGATCACCTCATTTGAAGCTTTATACGACTCAGTCCTACAATCTAGATTTACTGACAATTTCTTGGTGTTCCTAACAGTAATCAGTCACGACTACCCTTGTTAACCTTGTCACAATAACTTGGGTCTTGCTGTCAAAAACTTCTTTATAATTACTACTGTTTAGATTGAATAAAAATGTCAATTATTGATGAATATAAGTCATTTGTTATCCTGATACTTTAAATCACTATTGTTAAAATAATTTTTTCTAGGAAATAGAACTTTTTTCAATTCCTTTGATTGAGAATTAATGTAGAACAAATTTAAATATTGTACTATAATAACAAACGGTATCTATTCTTGACATATTAGATCAATTTTTTTCAAAGTTTTATTCAACATTTCTTGAGAAGAAAATACTACACATCATAAAGTTCAGCGTCAGATGACAAATGGTTTGTTTAAAAATAGCACGAAAAATGTCAAGTTACAGATGATGCATTATCAAGTCAGGTGAATAATATCAGGATCAACTTGATAAAAAGTATAAACACTGCAAACAAAAAGTTAGAAAAATTGTCTACAGAAAGTGACTTGATCCAACTTTTAATAAATCTTGAAATTAAATAAAAATAAAAAGCTAATAAATCAGCTAAAACAAATTATACCTGCAAGAAAAAAACATTTTAATTTCAATTTCAATCATGTTCCCAACTGCTAAAAAATTGCAATTGGTCTCATTTGACCCCATGAAAGTAAAACAAAAGAAATGAGGGGAAGATGCAATATGAATAGACAATATCCCATTCTGATTTGATAACAATGACGGTTTGACATAGAAATAGGAAGTAAACCAGAAATGCCTTTACCCTAGTGCGTCCGGTGTTCAATCCCCTGTGGTCTGGGGTTGCGAATTACTCCCTTGTATTAACTTACGTAATTGAGATTTATTAATACAGAGGCCACGTAATGCTCATTTTCTCTTTCATATACGTTACGCTTATGCCTATCGAAAAGGGGAGAGTTGGGTTGATGGAGCAGGGTTTATCACATTTACTGCTATAAACTAGTATGATTTTTAGTAGTAATAATAGACTTACATATATGGTTTGTAATATACCAAAACTATTGACTTATTCTTAATAATTGGATACCATCTTACAACCTGCTATTGTTTAAGTTACTTATTATTTTAATGCTGATTTATTCCAGCTTATTCATTAAGGAAATGTTGTATTACAAGTCATAGGTAATAGCATGTTTCAAGATATAATGTGTTAACAATAAATAAAATAAGATGTGTAAATTTTTTATATTATTATTACCTTGCTTATTATTGGTGAAAAAGATATTGCCTACTTTCACTAGGGTTTATTAGTCTATGCTAATTATAAGTGGAAAATTATAGTTTATAAATGTATAATAATAGTACTGTATTGTGTAGTGTTTATATCTACATTTATAAATTTTAAATTGCAGTTAAGTAGAGTGGTTTACACATAATTTGACATTACCTTACCTATCCTGATAGTTATTTCAATTATTTTTAATTTTTATTAACAATAGGCTGTTTGATTGTTAGACAATCATATTGGAAGTCAAATAGACTAATTGAGATCAATGATGTTAAGTACATCTAAATTGTCACTTTTGTCAGACCAGAATTTTTCTGACACCACTTGGACTTATTGTTTTATTATGATGAGAGAAATGAATAGGCCATTATTTTAAATTTAAATTTTTAATTAGTAAGATATCTATATCTAGAAATGACATTTTTTGCTAGCTTTTCATCCTGAAAGAATATTTCATTATTTGATTGACATTAGAATTAAAAAAAAATGTTTCTTTTCATCAATTCATTTTAATTAATCAACTTTTTTTGAATTAATATTCAATTTCATTTGCATGGCATATTAATATGAGAACTTATATGTTAGTATTAGTCTTTTTAAGACCACTAATAAAGATCATAATCAATGAAAATGAATTTCTACATTTTTTACTTACAATTAAATTATTTATAATCAATATTCAGGAATAATTGTGTTATTTTTAGATAAAACATATTGATAAATGTTTTATTGAGTTACAGAAGCCATAAAATACTGTTTTAAAGTATAAAAAAATAGTTAGAGGTAGTTAGACAGGCTTGGAAAGTTCAAAAGTGAAAAAAGTAAAGATTCTTTGGACTAAAAATTCAAAACTCGTTTGCACGCGGAATTAAACTGAAATAAATCATAAATATTAAACGAGGCCTTCAGTCAAGGGATTACGAGGGTTGGACCGTCACCCCCATCTTTAAACCCCCTAAACTACATTTTTCATGATGCATCTCTTGTTCTCTCATCTATCCCCCATTTTAAACTGTTTCATCGAGCTTACTAACTACACAATCGAGTCTCAGGAAATTGCATAAGTCCCTCCTTTCGCTGGACAAGAAATTTCAATGACAATGAATCTTCTTCCTTCCTCGTTTTTCTTTTCACTCTCACTGAATTGACCAGCATTCAGACTAACAATCAATATTAGTTGTCAAGTGAAACTGGTGAATTTCCGGTACTAAATTCAACCGCTCTTGTATAATTAGATCATTAAGTATCTCTAATTAAATTCAATCATGTGCTGTAGAATCATTTTATTTAGTTAAAGTCTTTTTATATAAACAATATCCTAGAATGTTGATTTAATATTATATTATTTAAAAAAATAAATAATATTTAGATTGATTAGGAAATAGGATCGGTTTGAGTTGCACTTCAAGGTGAGAAGACTCGTTAAGTAATTATATATGAATTTTTAATAGAACTAAAGATGTCTTGACGATAGAATTAGAGAGGAGAGATGATCTCTGAATAGAAATCGAAGCAAATGAGTGTTGCGAGAGAACATATATGCGATGTATTTCTTACGAAATAATCACTTTCTATCCATTGAGTTGCAAGAAATTGATTACCTTCATTTTCAATGTATTTTTATTTGCAAGATCTTACAGCGTCTGATCCAATCTAGTAATAATCTACTTTATAAGTCACTGAAGTTACTTCTAAAGGAGATTATCGTTCAAAATTCTTCCAATTTATTTTTTAATATATTACCATTTATAGGAGGATTGTAGAGTTTAGATTTTTAATAAAATGTATTTGCTTTTAAATTTTATTAAAGACTCTTTGTGACTTGTTAAAATCAAATTTTTATTAGATAAAAAACAAGCTTGTGTACAATCAATAAATAATTGTTTTATTACTCCAAAAATTTTGAGGTTTGATTAATATTCGAATTTTTTACTTCCAATTAATCAAACTAATCCCACTAAATTCTAGCTCAGTAAGAAAAATGTGAGAAAAACATGAGAAAAAAGTTTTATTGAGCCATCGAAATTGGTGTGACGAAAATCGATGACCAGTCGTTGTACTCTTCATTCTGTTGCCGTAGGAGCAAAATGACTTGATTAACTGACGACGTGTCGTTACTGTGAGCGACCCGAAAACCAACCCCTAAGTTGGCCGATTGCCCGATGTTGCGACCAAGGGTTGCACACCATCATCAGTATGTTTAGGGAGTATATGTTGAGGGAAGCATATAAGAAGGAATCATTTCTTGGTGGTCTTTACTCGGTTTTCCTTTATCTTAATCCTGTTTGATTAGGCTTTACCATGCTTTAATAAATTATTTGGATGATTTAATTCATTTCAGTAAAATTCATTATCAAAATACATCATTAAAAATATTTGTTTTCTTGATAAATAATGTTTACAAATAATCAAAAGATAATTTCTTGATGTCAGGAAGATTGATTATGTCATTTGATAGATTGTTAGAAAAATATTAAAAATGGAAGGTAAATTGAAAACTTTCAGAAAGATCTTAATAAATTATTATCATTATACATTTAGTAGACTGCAGTCAATAGGTTCAAACGTGATGTGTGTTTAGAGTTTAGAGATGCTTTCTATCCATGCATTCTTACATGCAACTGATTGATGCACAATTATACTTTACATTAAGGAGACCTGCATCTTCTCATTGCTTAATTGCTTGGGTATAGTTGAAGGAACTCGACTTGAGTCACTTTTCCTCTGGACATTTCCTCGTTTCATCTTTCTTGGTATTTGTTTCAATAATAAGTTACGGTGAGCGAAAATAACTAATATGTTATATACTCTTAATTATATAGCATGCAACTCTGTTCATAATTCAAAAAAACTTACTCATATACCACTAATTTCTATCATTTCTTTAACATTTTGAATAAAATATAAATAATTCCTTTTGCTTCAATCAACTGATGAATAGATGAAGTTAATATCTTTTATCTCCTGGCAGTTATTGATCAATTTTAATTCAATGTTAATTAGTGTTTATTTAGAATGAAAAACGTTAAATAAAAATGTCAGATCCAAAAAACAACGAATGTCTATCAACCCCAAAGCAATTCAAACTTTTCTATGCAATCTCAATCAACAATGCATGTTCTCAGCTCTCAGCACCAAAGTATACATTGAGAGTTCACAAGGGTTTCCG